GTCACCCTTGTTAGAGTTGGACCTGGGGATTGCTCTATAGCACATCAGATGTTCTGGTCCGTTCTCTTCAACCGTGAGTGGGCCTCGTACGAAGTGACTTTTGACAACGAGTCCATAGTTGCTTGGATTCACACAAACGGGACTCTGTCATTGGTTCAGAATCGCAGGCCACAGTTGTCACCCGTAGAACAAGAACGAGTTCTGTCAGTCCCTTGGGAAGATGACGGAAGGTTCCCGTGCTTCCGGCGTCGCTGGGTGCGCACGGGCTTCGAACACTGTCCAGTTTGCAGCTGTCGGATCAAATGCAGACATAGAGTCACACATGACTATATGACCCAGACGTGGAACTGGAGGACAATTCCGCGATCCCTCGAGGCAAATGGACTTAGATTACATGTGAATGATCACTACAACCTTCCCAACAATCGCCCCGAATGGATCAAAGCGCGCGGGGCAAGACAACAGAGAGCTTCTGCGATCGTGGTGAAGAACATCAGCAGTAACCAACAGCAGGAGCGAAAGTGGGCGAATGGGGAATTTGTTCGCATGGCCGCAACAGGCCAGATCTTCGGGAACAGCCAGCCAGGCAATTTCCCTGCTTGGGTTCCAACGGACGCCGCGGCTCAGCCGCCGGCGCGCCATGTCCCTTTCTTCCAGTATTTGAAGCCCTTAACCCGAAGGTTCATCGAATGGCTTGCGTTCTCAGCCTCGAGAGCGAGAAGGCAGGTTCCTGTGATACAGGTCTGGTGGCCATTGCTGTGGAAGACAAATATCGACCAGTGCGCTCGCCCAATATCTTGCCCAGCTCTAGCAGCCTTCGACTGGCCAGAATATCAGGACGACATCGTCGAACCTGTGCTGGCCTGGGAGAGATGGCATGCCCAGATGACCAGACAAAATGTCTTTGTCCCGACGATTCAGACAATTGACGACGCGGTAACCATGGGGACACCGCGGCTGCCGGCACAGCAAGAAGACGTCGCGGACGACGCAGGGCAAAACCCTCGCGCAGGGCAAAACCCTCGCGGAAGCATGCCGGTTGCCTGGGAGAACAGTCGAGGCGAGGCCAACTCGCAGTTCTCAATCCGTCGCCAGACGGATCAATGACTGTCGCGATCATCGCCTCATAATGCCATCGTTGCAACCCGCCACCGGCGCAGCCGCGATGGCAGGCGCGCAGTCACAGGTTGGACTTGACTTCTCAGCGATCAGCGGGCCTAAGGCCGCGCTGATAACCGGAGGGGCGATCAACTTTGATCAGCCCGACGGTTATACGTATAACCATTGCGAGGACAGCTCGATAAATATATCTTTACACGGGTAAGAGGCTAGGGCGATCGCAGCACAATATTTTGTCGAATACATAGGCATTCGCTCGAACTCTCACGATCCCGGTAGATTGCAACTGACAGGGGAAATGGAACACGAGGTCCCACCGATTGTGACGAACATAGTTGAACAGGAACTGGATGGCCCCTGTACAACATGTGCAACTTGGTCTTCGGATCATAAGAATACTTGCTATCGCTCGCGAGACCGTGAGATCCTTCATTTCAGATGGACATGTTGTCGGTTACCCGGGGCGAGTAATTCGCCCCGCTAGAGAGAACGCAGATCCCATTTACTTGGAGCGACGGAGAGATGAATATGCTCTAGACTGTCGCATTCGCGCCGCTGTCCAGACGGACGACATCATAGAAGAGTGGGTCCTTTTTCCGGGTAGGCAGGTGCAAACCGACGTTCGTCGTGAGGGCGCATTATTACAAGAGGCCGTTTCTTGGCTTCAGAACAGATACATAGATCCTGGGACAGAGCTCCAGGACAAGAGCGCAGGGCCATTCCGCACTGCATGCGGAAGATTTGGCATCCCAGTAGCTACAGCTGCTAGGAGTTTGTTGATATTCATGAGAGATCGAGAGCAGAACGTTCGTGAGCACAGAAATGCCAATCCGCACCATGGCAGCGAAGCTGATCCCATGGGGCCAATAAGAGCACAGGATGCCGCGAAAGCCAGGCCGCAGCCACCACCTCCACCGCGCAGACCCAACGTCTCAGACGCTCGGGCTGCCGATAAAATTACCGAATCCCCGCGCTCTGTCGCCGGCACAGCTGTGACGACAAGAGAGGGATACTCGTGGTATTCTGACGCATGGGATTGGTCGAGGCCCCAACGCGCGCGCGATGGAGCCATGGATGTCGGCCGCGGCGCTGCCGGCTACGACCCGCTCCTGTCCTACCCGCGCTACGCGCGTAACGTGCAGGTCGGGCACTGCGCCCACCGGGGCCGGATCGCGCGGTTGTCCGACGAGGTCTGGTGGACGCAGGTTTGGCATGCGCTGTCTATGTTTGAGCATGACGTCCACTTCCCGCCGAAGGGGAAGGCGCCCAAGAACAAGGAGAATAACTACAGCGCAGCATACTACACTAATAAAGGCAAAGGACGGTCCCGCTCGCCTCGCGGCTGCGAGGGACAGACTGGAGGCTCGGCGCCGTCGAACCCGACGCCTCCGGCGCCTCCAACGGGAGAAGAAAACCCGTGGGGGGAGCTGGGCTGACATCCGCCCGCGTGACTTAGTCGCGGCAGGCGCATGCAAGATAATTCTCGTCCGCGCGACGAAGTCGTGTCGGACGAGTAAGCAACTCTGCTGGTCGGCTAAGCCGAACCAGCGGAGAGAATTTATTTATATGATTGTGGGAGTCGTCGGGCCTCTTCGGCCCTTAGCCCCCTGGTGGCCACCGTCGAACGGTAGAAATGTTTGCGGTTCGCTCCGGTGGTTGCACATATATACGCCAGGGGTGCTGTGGCCGGATGGGCTCTACGAGGCCCGCCGCGGGGGGAGTAAATAAGCTCCTCTCCGCCTCATATTAATATTGCTTGTTGTAACACTTGCATGCTGCGCACTGTATGACTGTAACTTTTACTGCCTTCTGCAGCTGTTTGTTTGCTTGCAGGAGATAAAAGGTGCGAGCTGGCCCGCTCGCGTGCGCCGCGGGGTCGCCCCCGCGTCGTCGTCGTGTCGTCGGCCGGCCGGCCACCTCACTTACCATGCCTGATAGAGTAAACTCGCTTACCGGTTACTTGTCTTATCGATGTCTCATCCCGTACCCTCTCTCGCTGAGCAGAGTGAACATGAGATCTTAATTCCTTTGTCATCTTACCCCGATTCTCAGAAGAAAGACTGCGCGGGCTATGCCGTCGGGGAGTCCCGGGGAAGCTCCTTGCGGCGGCCACGCCCAGCGTCACGAATACTCAGAGGCAGCCATACTCAAATTATTGGCATTCATATACAATTACACCATGCTCTGTCATACTCGCACTCATGCACTTACACTCGCTCGCACGCAAATTCATTCACAGTCCGACGCATTCGCGCTCATATTCGCCCGCGTTCAGTCTCCCTACGTACTCAGATCAATCGTTTTCGTTCGCGTTGTGTACCACGCCACTCATTTCGGCACACCCCTAGCACGGCTCGTTGCCTCATAGGGATCACCACCGAAAAAGTGATTCACAATTGCGGTACTCACACCTGCATATGGTTGGGTCCTTCGTCAGGTTACTTTTTGGCGTGGGAGCGTCACGCCTTCCATGGCAAAGCCATCGAAACCCCAGACACCCAGGGTGCTCTGGAGGCAAGCAGGTTGTTTCTTGGCATGGGCTCACACGGCCATTTCGAGGCCTCCAACACGCTTATGCAATGCCTGGTTCCCCCTGAAACACAGCATCAGCAAGAGTGATCGAGCCATTCAAGTCATGGTCATGCTAATATCTGGGACTTAGAAGAAAACTGACCAAAAATATGGGAAATCCGTTTTTGAATCTAGTAAACCGGCTCTTGCGTCTACTAAATGATGTCTTGTCTTGTTTCGATCACGCAGCACAGGTTAATACATCCGCTTCTCGCTTCCGTAAATCAGTTGATTGTTCAATGATTTGTTTCAGAAGTGCGCTTTCATTCATTACCATGACTTATGTTAGCCGGTGGCGCGCGGTCGCCAAATCCATGCATCGGGGGAGATGCCCTCCCCCAGAATGCGGCCGGTGCCGCCTCGCGATCCCGGCGGCGGAAATCCCACATTTCCCACGGTAACGGGACTCGTGGCTAATCCCTGAGCTCTGACGTGGCGACAGACAAAAATGCAGCGCTGTAGAAAAACAGGCCCGGAACCCTGGACACCAGCTCTCTGCGTGACTCTTCGAGCCCCGTCGATCTGCGAGGGCCCCGGGGCTCGAACAAAAGGCGACAGCGCGCGCCCGACTCGAAAACATTGAGACGCCAGGATCTCAAGGATCCACGCCCCCTTGATCCCTGCGTGCGATCGCCTGGAGTCCGAGGCCTCCAACGCGCCCACAGTCGGGATTGAATGGAGAGGACACGCGAGAGGACACAAGAGCCTTCCGAGGGCCACGTTGCCACAGAAATGCTAGCGGCATGGTTGAGCAGGGACCGACCGTCCCGGCATTCCTATAGTCCTACCACAAAATGCTCTTAGAACCCAAAAATGCTTTGAATAACAAAAGCCATGTTCTTAGAACATAAACCCGACGTGATAAAACAAGACAGACTCCGCCAGACATGTTCTAAGAACATTTCGTGGAAACAACAAGAAAAATGTTCTTAGAACATTGTTTGGTGGGGCTGTAGGCGAGCCAGGACGCTTCTCCACTGCTTGACATGGGTCGCAAGACGCGGGACCCGAGGGCACCCTTGATCTGGCAGGGTCGACCTACTAATCCAGGGGAACAAAAAATGTCATAAACATAAAAACACGAAGGTCCGCGCGGATTTCTCGGATCAGCGCTGGGGCCCCCTTCCTGGCGCGCAGAGCGCGCCAGGGGGGCCCCAGCGCTGGGGGGCCCCAGCGCCGATCCGAGAACTCCGCGCGGACCTCCGAGTTTTTATGTTGCTGTCATTTGCTCCCCTACTACTGATCTGGGCCGCCTGAAGCCATGCTTTGCCCCCCGCGCGACGCAGCAGCAGCCGCGGGGCGGCGGCACGCACCTGCTCCAGGAGCCGGGCGGCGGCGGCCTGCCGCGCCCGCAGCCGCGCGATCTCGGCGCCCAGAGCGCCCGGCTCGCCCCCGCCGTCTGGGCCGGGCCCGCCCGCGCCGGCGGCGGCGGCGGGCGGCGGCGGCGGCGCGGACAACCAGAAGAGGAGGAGGAGGAGAAGCAAGAAGGAGGAGGAGGAGCAGGAGCAAGGAGGAGGAGGAGGAGCAAGGAGCCAGGACGCGGAGGAGGAGAAGGAGGAGGAGGAGGAGCAGGGCGGAGGAGGAGGAGGAGGAGGAGGAGGAGGAGGAGGAGAAGGACCGAGGAAGAGGACCGAGGAGGAGGATTGAGGAGGAGGAGGAGGAGGAGGAGGAGGAGGATGAGGAGGACCGAGGAGTAGGACCGAGGAAGGAGGAGGAGGAGGAGGAGCAGGAGGAGGACAAGAAGGAAAAACGCGGAAAACACAAACTTTTGGCGCTCCGCGCGGATTTCTTGGATCTGACCTGGACCCCCCTCCCTGGCGCGTGGAGCGCCAAGGGCGTCGCCGGAGGCGGCGCCGAGGGGGGCCCCAGCGCGGATCCAAGAGATCCGCGCGGAGCGCCAAACATTTGTGTTTTATGGCGTTTTCTTCTTCGAACAACAGCGACGGGCGAGAGCGCCGGCGTTCACTTTGGACGCCCGAAATTGGTACGGCAAAAATGGGTACAATGCCCAACAACAAATGTTGCCCCAAACCAACAGCGGCCGCTGTTGGGCAGGCGGCCTTCTGTCTCGAATGGACACAGGCCGCGGCGGCGGGGACAGCGAGTCCTGTTCAAAATGAACAGGAACTGCTGCTGGGCATCGTGCCCAGCCTTTCCGTGCCCATTTCGGGCGTCCAGACCACAGGCAGGTTTCGGACGAACCATGAAACACAGACATACACTACTCAAAGGTAGCCAAACATAGAAAAAACAACAAAAAAACCCAAACAAAGTTTCCGTGCCCATTTCAGGGCGTCCAGATTCACGGCGACGGCGGCGGACGACGGCGACGGCAGCGGCGGCGACAGACGGCCTCTGCGGCCCCCGCTCTCTGCAGGCACGCGCGCAGCGGGCGGGCAGGCTCACCGCGGCGGTCGCGAGGCGAGGGGCGGAGCTGCTGCTGCAGCAAACCCAACGGGGCAGTTTTTAATACATGGGATTTTGAAAGACATGGGATTTTTGATACATGGCGAATTTAAATATAAATTTGTGCATGAACTCACCGTTGTTTTTAATACTCAATCCCTGCATGTTCGATACTTGATCCGCACGCGGAACAGGTATTAAAAACGGCACTGTACCCCCCTCCCCCTGCGGGCTGCCGGCACTCTGGGCAGCCCTGTCGCTTCGAATCCTCTCCCGGAGCTCCTCGCCCCAGACTCCTGGAGAGGACAGTGGCTGACGTATGAGGGGTCCCATGCGGCAGCGATGTGGAGCTAGCAAGGCGGATTACACCGTCTGGTCACCCAACTTTATGAACTCCCATCAGACCTCTGGGCGTATGCGGTCTAACGAATTCGTTATTACCTAACAGCGAAGACTGATAGGTTTCTAGTGGGGTCAAAAGAGAGCAGCAGATGACTCCACAGGGGGGTCCGGGCGGCATCCGGGGAGCTGGGTCCGAACTCGTTTTTCGCAAACAGTCACACACTTCGTGCTCTTCGACCTCCGAGAACTCCATTCCCGGGCCACATTCTGAATGCCCGGAGCCAACTGTGGGCCGCTGCGTGCTCTTCGACTTCCCAGAACTCCATTCCCGGGCCACATTTTGGATGCCCGGAGCGAACTGTAGGCCACTTCGTGCTCTTCGACTTCCCAGAACTCCATTCCCGGGCCACATTTTGAATGCCCGGAGCCAACTGTAGGCCACTTCGTGCTCTTCGACTTCCCAGAACTCCATTCCCGGGCCACATTTTGAATGCCCGGAGCCAACTGTAGGCCACTTCGTGCTCTTCGAGTTCCCAGAACTCCATTCCCGGGCCACATGTTGAATGCCCGGAGCCAACTGTAGGCCACTTCGTGGTCTTCGAGTTCCCAGAACTACATTCCTGGGCATGATTTTGAATGCCCGGGGCCAGCTGTAGGCCACTTCGTGTTCTTCGAGTTTCCAGAATTCAATTCCCGGGCCACATTTTGAATGCTGAGGCAGGCTGATGCTGAGGCTGAGGCAGGCTGAGGCTGAGGCAGGCTGAGGCTGAGGCCGAGGCTGAAGGCCGACTGAGGCTGAGGCTGAAGCAGGCTGAGGCTGAGGCTGAGGCAGGCTGAGGCTGAGGCTGAGGCAGGCTGATGCTGAGGCAGGCTGAGGCTGAGGCTGAGGCTGATGCAGGCTGAGGCTGAGGCAGGCTGAGGCTGAGGCCGAGGCTGAAGGCAGACTGAGGCTGAGGCTGAAGCAGGCTGAGGCTGAGGCAAGGCAGGCTGAGGCTGAGGCTGAGGCAGGCTGAGCTGAGGCAGGCTGAGGCTGAGGCTGAGGCTGATGCAGGCTGAGGCTGAGCAGGCTGAGGCTGAGGCCGAGGCTGAAGGCAGACTGAGGCTGAGGCTGAAGCAGGCTGAGGCTGAGGCTGAGGCAGGCTGAGGCTGAGGCTGAGGCAGGCTGATGCTGAGGCAGGCTGAGGCTGAGGCTGAGGCTGATGCAGGCTGAGGCTGAGGCAGGCTGAGGCTGAGGCCGAGGCTGAAGGCAGACTGAGGCTGAGGCTGAAGCAGGCTGAGGCTGAGGCTGAGGCAGGCTGAGGCTGAGGCTGAGGCAGGCTGATGCTGAGGCAGGCTGAGGCTGAGGCTGATGCAGGCTGAGGCTGAGGCAGGCTGAGGCTGAGGCCGAGGCTGAAGGCAGACTGAGGCTGAGGCTGAAGCAGGCTGAGGCTGAGGCTGAGGCAGGCTGAGGCTGAGGCTGAGGCAGGCTGAGGCTGAGGTAGGCTGAGGCTGAGGCTGAGGCTGAGGCAGGCTCAGGCTGAGGCAGGCTGAGGCTGAGGCCGAGGCTGCGGGCAGGCTGAGGCTGAGGCTGAAGCAGGCTGAGGCTGAGGCTGAGGCAGGCTGAGGCTGAGGCTGGCTGAGGCTGAGGCAGGCTGATGCTGAGGCAGGCTGAGGCTGAGGCTGAGGCTGAGGCAGGCTGAGGCTGAGGCCGAGGCCGACGGCAGACTGAGGCTGAGGCTGAGGCAGGCTGAGGCTGAGGCAGAGGCAGGCTGAGGTTGAGGCTGATGCAGGCTGATGCTGAGGCAGACTGAGGCTGAGGCTGAGGCTCATGCAGGCTGAGGCTAAGGCAGGCTGAGGCTGAGGCCGAGGCTGAAGGCAGACTGAGGCTGAGGCTGAAGCAGGCTGAGGCTGAGCTAAGGCAGGCTGAGGCTGAGGCTGAGGCAGACTTAGGCTGAGGCTGTGACTGCGACTGCCGTTGCCGCTGCGACTGTCATCGCGAATGCGACTACGACTGCGAGAACAGCAGAATTCTACAACTGGGTTCTCATTTGAATCTTGAGGGGAATGCTTCCAGATATACTCCTACACATCGCTGTTAGGTTGCTTTGCCGGGATAATTTCTTCCCCCAGAACCTCTTCCCTTCGGGGAAGGGTACCCTCCTCCCCCTCCCCTCCCTTAAGTTTTTGATTGGAGATTCCGCGAGGCGTCAGACGGTCCTGTTTCGCCTATGATGGCTGCACGAGGGCCACCGATGATCCAAGATGGCCTCCAAGGTGGCTCAAGATGGCTGGCGATGTCTCGATTTTGTTTCCAACATGCTCCATGAGGCCCCACATACCGCTCCAAGACGGTTCCACGTGCTCTCGAAGCCCCCCAAGAACCTTTCCAAGAGTCCTCACTCCTTCAAACAATCAATGATTGCTCCCTTCTCACCGTTTCGCTTCCGATTGTTCTTGAAGCCTCAAGATGGCCCAATAAGGCAGATGCCCCAAAGACAGCCCCGACAGCGCTCGATATTGATCCGAGAGCGTCCGAAGGAGGGCCCCAAAGAGGGCTCCAGCGATGGCTACGGACTATAGGACGTCCCCTTTGTTGATCGATGGCCTCCAAGATGGCCCCACGAGTTCCGCAAGGGCTCCCAAGAGTGTCCCGAGGGACCTCTAAGATGGCGCCAAGAGGGCCCCAGGGCACGCGCCCTAAGAGGGCCCCAACAGGACCCAAAAACTCACCCAAAGAGACCCAGGAATGCTCCACGAGGCGATTTGCCTCCTCTTGCTCCTCCTACCTCCCCCCCTCGCCCCCCGCGGGCCCCAGAGATGGCCCGAAGAGACCCTCCAAGACCACCCCCTTGCTCCCAGAGATCTCTCTGTTTATCCTGGTTGCCCGCTTTGTTTCACAGTAGATGTCTAGTCGTCCCAATGCTCCCAAGTGGCGCTGAGTGGCCAGGGAGCCTCTCAATGATGCCCTCAAGACGCGCAAATCATTTCAACATCTTAGGGGAACACGGGATTTTGGAATTCTCGCCTTTTCGTTCTGGCACTCCGAGGCCTCAAGATGGCTGCAAGATCGCCCAGTGGGCTACAAGACGGCCGCAAGAGCGCCCCAAGAGACAATGCTTGGGGCTCCAGAGGGGCGGGGCCAACTGAGGACCCGCCCTTCTTTGATCGATGTCCTCTAGGATGGCCGGAAATGCCCCCAATTCGACCCCACAAGGGCTCCATAATGGCCCCACAGTGGCTGCAAGAGTACCCCACCGGCCTCCGAAGTGGTCTCAAGAGGGTCCCAAGATGGCCAACGTAAGCTGTCAATAAGCTCCCCTATCGAAAGATCCGATGAGGAATTGATGGTGGGCTCTTAAGTTGAAGGGGCCCTGAGACACACAAATAAATGCACACATACGAACATATTCCCCATATGTTCCCATATGTTCTGGGTTTATGTCTTCCCCCCCGCTTCCCATATTTTCCCATGCGTTCTGGGGAATCGAGGATTAATTGTGTCTGTGTGTTTCTTCCCCTCCTGATCTTAAGTTTGCTCAGGCTGATGCCAAGCTTCGGCTTGGCGGCTGCCCCCCCCCCTCTTGGCTCTACTGCTTGCTCCTGCGCGTCGCTGACCAGTGCAGCTCGCCTCCGGGATATCCCCGCGATGTCCACCAGATTTGGAGGACCACG